TGAGTGTGCCCGGTGAGCAGTGTGTGCCCGGTGAGCTGCGTGTGCTGCGTGTGCCGTGCATGCCCGGTGAGCCCCGTGTGCCCAGTGAGCTGTGTGTGCTGTGTGTGCCGTGCGTGCCCGGTGAGGCCCGTGTGCCCAGTGAGCTGCGTGTGCTGTGTGCACCGTGTGTGCCCGCTGAGCCGCGTGTGCCCGCGCTGGTGCGAGCGTGCCCGTGTGTGCACACGTGTGCCAGGGTGCCGATCACCTGGCACTCGGCTCTGCCGGGCTGTGCTGCATGGCAGTTGCTAAGGGATCTTGCTGAGGATGGGCAGGGGGAGCTGGCACTCAGCTCAATCCCCACATGGGCAGGAGGGACCAGCACCCAGGGGAGCACCCACAGCCCCCGTGGCTCCCCCCAGGGACCTCCACCCCATGAACCTTTGGGGTGTGGGAAGAACAAGGGCCTGGGTGTGTGGGTGGGCACTTGGCCAAGTGCTGGCTCCTGAGGGAGGTAAGGGCAGGCGGCAGAGCCCGGCACTGTCTGAGTTCCTCGGTAGCCAGGCTATCCTGCTTCACGGGCACACACCCTCCCACCCACTCCTGTGCCTCCGGGGCGGCCAAACCCCTCTGCGAATACATGTGACCCCCGTGGCACTGGCAGCAGCAGCATAAGGACCCTCGGGGGTCCTGAGACCCCACCCACGGCACCCTCAGCAACACAGACCCACCGAGGCTGCTGCCCCAAGGCCCAGAGCTCCCAGCCAGGGACACCCCAATAGCGGTGGGTCCTGGCTCTGATGCCCCCACCCGTAGGTGTCCCAGGGAGATCCCAGCGGCACCTGATCCCGCTGGGGTAGGCATGGGTGCACCTACACGTGGGTCCCCCCACAGGGGTCCCAGTGACACCCCAATGTCAGCAGGAGCTCACACGGCTGCCCCCGCCCATGGGGGTCCTGGTGAGATCCCGGTGGCACCTCCTGGGACCCGGCCCCGGTGTCTCCACCCGCGGGGACCCGCCGCCCCAGCCTGGTGCCGAGCCGGTGCCGGGGCGGGCGGGCCTGGGGCGGCAGCGGGAGCGCGCGCGGGGGCGCGGCGGCGGCGGGCGCGCGCGGGGCGGAGCTGGGCGCCGGGGCCGCGGGGCGCGGGCGGCTCGGGCTCGGTTCTCCCTCCATTCCCCGGGATCGCGGCGGGCTCGGGCGGCGGCAGGATGGCGGCTGGGCTCCTGCCCCTGCTCCCGCTGCTGCTGCTGCTACCGGGCCGGGGGCCGCCGGGGGCCCTGGGCAACCGGCACGCCGTGCACTGGAACAGCTCCAACCCGCAGTGAGTGCGGGCGGGGGCGCCGGGACCCGCACCGGGAGGCGGGGGCGGCGGTGGGGGGGTGTCCCCGGGGCCGCGCGGGGTGGGGGGTGCCGCCGGGAAGGCGGTGGCCGCACGGCGGGGATCGCGCTGAAGGATGCGCTGGGGGCGGCGGGCGACACCGGGACTGCGGGACCTCCGGTGCCGGTCTCCTCGCGGCGCCCTCGTGCGGGCGGGGCTGCCGGGCCCCGTGTGCCGGTGCCCCCGGTGCCCCTCGCCCTGCCCGTGAGGGCGGAGATCGCTGCGGTGGGAGAGGGGCAGCCGCCCGGCCGGTTCGTGTCCCCGTGGCCGCGCTGCCGGGCGGGGCTCGGCGGCTCCCGGTGCGGGCGCGACGGGGTCGCGGGTACTGGGGGAAGAGCCCCCCCCGACAGCGCTGACCCACCGGGGCCAGAGGGAAGAGTCTGGCTCCCCCAGGCATCCGCCTCCCGGTGCGCCGGGGCGGGCAGGGGTCCCGCTCCCCCCGCCAGTCGCGCCCCCCGCATGTCTGGGTGCGGGAGCGGCACCGGCGGCGCGACGGAGGCGGGGGGGCCCGACAGGTGCCTGCCGCCCCCCACCGCCTCTGGCCGGCGGCAGTGGCACCCCTGGGGCGGCAGCGGTGGCTCCCGGGGCTGCGGGGGGTGAGAGCGGAGGGTGGGAGCGGCCACCGGGAGCAGAGCAGTCGGGGGTCGGTGGCCTTGGACGCTCAGCCCCTCCCTCACACCCTGCGCCGGGGCTGCCTCTGCCCTCGCCGGCGCACCCAGAGCTGAGAGCGGATGTGCCATGGGGACGGTCTGGGCTGGACCCTCCCGGGAACGGGGGCTGCGTGCTGTGGCGTGTCCGTGGACCCGTCCACGGGGGTCTGTGCCCGCTGCCATCGCCCACCTCTCCGTCCCTCGCTGCTGCGAGTGCCCAGGGGTGTGGCGGGGACATGCATCCAGCCAGAGCATCCTGTGGTGCCCATCGTTGCAGGGGCTCTCCTGGGCTCCCCCCATCCCACACCCCTTTGTGCAGGGTGGGAGCAGCCCCGGCAGCCCCCTCCCCTGCCATTGAGATTGTGTCGCCAGGCGGAAGCTCGGGCCCCATAAATCGCGCGTGTGTGCGACGTGCCGAGGCGCAGCACAATGGTGAGGTGCCGCTCTCGCCCCGCCGCGCTCGGCATCCCCCTGCACCCCCCTGCTCTGGCCGGACCCCCCTTCACCCCCAGCCTCGTCCCCACACCGTGACATTGCCACGACGCTGGCGGGTGTGACCAACCCCACCCTCGTGTCTCCGTGACTGAGGGTCCCCACCCCATCACCACCGTGACCTGCCGCTGCCCCGGCACCCCTCGAGGGACGGGGCGGAGGGGGGGCCGGCAGTGCCCATGCCAAGGCGGGGGTGTCGCAGCCAGATGCCCGCACCCCCTGCGCAAGCATGTCTGGCGCGGCCGCGAGCGTCCGGCTCAGGGCATGGGCGGCGCGGTGGGGGCGGCTGCGGCAGAGCCGTGTCCCAGGGACTCCGGAGCTGATATTTATTGTTAGGCAGTGCGGCAGCTCGGACGCAATTATAGCCGCACGGCAAAGTGTCTGGATTAGATAAATTATGGGGGGAATTAGGCTCCCTGGGCCGCAGCCTGCAAATCCCAGCAACCCTGCTGCAAGTGCAGCCATAAACAAGCCCAGCGTGGCCCTGCGGGGCTGTGGCCACTCCTTGGGGGCTGCGCCAGGCACCCCGAAAATTTATTGTGTCTCCTGCTGTGCTACCCTGTTGCTGCCCTCAGTGGGATGACAGGACAAGGGGCAAACCCAGGGAGCAGCCCATGGAGGCCACTGTGGTCCTGATGGTGCTTTAGGAAGCAGGGGGCTGGTGGCAGCTCAGCCCCTTGGCCACGCAAGGAATGGCTGCGAGTGCCAGGAGGCC